AACGAATTCGGCAACAGTTTCCGGAAAGAAACAAGATCAAAAATGTCGTATTACTTCTGTATAAGATTGTAATTTGTACTTCGATCTTCTATGACAAATGAGCGACGTTGACGCAAGTAGTTTTTTCTTTGTTACTAAATCCAGTGACGTGTGAGTGACGTAAAGTCGATTTGAATTTGTAACTCAATCCAAGGACACGTGAGCGCAGAAGAATTCAATAGATCTGTGATTTATAACTCAACCAAGTGACACTTGCGGGACTTTGAATCAAGATTGTCATCCGTAAGTCTATCTGCCAATCTGGAAGAACCTGAGTTATGGAGAGTTCAGAATATTGTAACGTAACTCTTTTTTGTTACTTGCGCGTGTGGTAGAGTCCAAAAGATCGTAATTTGTAACTCATACATGAGGGACCACAGTCCATTAGAATGTTACTTTTAACTCAATCCAGTGACACGTGAGTGACTCAAGTGCATTGTGGTTTGTAACTCAGTCTACGACACGCGCATAAATTGTTTTTGAGACTCAATCCAATGACAAGAGGGTAGAGTAGTTTTAACCGAACTCAATGACTCAAACTAGTGACACCTTAATAATGAGTTCAGCAGGCTGTGATTCAAAACTCAATATAGTGACACATAAGTGACGTAGAGGCATTAAGAGTTCACATACGTAACCTAAATCAGGTGACACGTGAATGAGGTTGAGTCAACTGTATTGTAATTCGCTACTCAATTCAATTACACATGAGTGACGTACGGTTAAATAAAGTGGGATTTTAAACTCAATCCATGACACATGAGTGGCGTACATTTCAGTAGATTGTAATTTGTAACTCAATCTAGTGACATTTAAGAAACATAGAGCCAAGACAGTAATACGTTACGCAATCCGTAAGTGCACAAGTGACGTAGATTCCAATAGACTGTAATTTGAAACTCAATTTATAACACCTGAGTGACGTAGACTCCAGTTGATTGTAGTTAAGTGACACGTCAGTGACATAGAGTGCAATGGATTGTACTTTATAACTCAGTCCAGTGACAAGTGAGTGACTCAAGTCCATTGTTATTTGTAACACAGTCTACAACACACGAGTGGATTGTTTTATGAAACTCAATCCAGTGTCACGAAGGCGGTGTATTTAAGCCGAATCCAATTATTAAAACTAGTGACACCTACTTAATATAGAGTCCAACAAACTGTGATTTGTAACTCAACCCAGCGACAATTGAGGGACGTAGAATTAAGATTGCAATTCATTACTCTATCGACACAATCCGGATGAAGCTGAGTGACGTAGAGTCCAGAATATTTTAATTTAGAACTCAATCCAGCGAGTCATGAGAACGGTGAAGTCCAAAGTTCATAATTTTAACTCAATCCAGTGACACGTGAGTGACTCAAGTGCATTGCCATTTGTAACTCAGTCTGCGGCACGCGTGTAGATAGTTTTATGAGACTCAATACACTGACACGTGATATTTCTTACCGCATCCAGTGACTAAAACTAGTGACGCCTTAATGATGTAGAGTCAAGCAGGTTGTAATTTTAAAACTCAATATAGCGACACATATGTGATGTTGAGTCCATCATTGTTCAATACGTAACATAATCCGATGACAGGTGAATGAATTTGAGTCCAGTGTATTGTAATTCATAACTCAATACTTGACACATGAGTAATGTAGTCTTCCGTGGATTGAAATTTGAAACTCAATCTCCAGTGACACGTGAGTAACAAAGAGTCCCATTTGATTGTAAATAAGAGGGAAGCTGACCAAATATATCTTTTCACTTTCCGTAAATCCAAGTAGTCAGGAAGTCAACTAAGCGTTTGTTTTTTTTCCGCCTGTGTCTATCGTTAAAATGTTTACAATTTCATTTGTGTTAATTAATTCAATAAATTGACAGTACAATATTGAGATAATACTAGTTAATGTTACAAATCCATACTGGTAAAAGAAACTTGTTATATATCTTACAACGGTAATTTAATTGGCATGAGTTACTTCATAATTGTTGTAAACTACTACAAAGTTTATCCCCGAACAAGAACAAAACACATTATTTGGCAAATCCATTTCGGAGCCTGCAATGGTTTCACTTCATATCGGTGTAAAGACATATATTAATACAATACAGAAATTGTGCATACTTATCCAGTGTCTGCAACCAGGAATGAGAAAATACATTAAACAGACCATTTGTGACGAAACTTTCTTTTTCTATCTCACAAAAACACAACTAGTGTCTTCACTTACCATTTTTGTAGAACAGAGTCTATTAAGAGGAAACCAGTTGTATTGTGGGGTCGGAATGGGGAGTGGCGTGTTGGGTGTTGAGAGTACTTATATTGGGAGAATTTAAAAATAATGCTAAACAGATAATGCCTTGTATATGGTCAAAGTTACTTTGAAACGCAAGATTAAACTAAACATCTGGTTTCTTAAAGTGTAAAACCATCTTATTTTTGTCCAACGTGGTTTTCAGTGGTGTAAAATTGCTGTTTCTATATTTAGCATTAAATCACACTGAACATGGACTGACCACGATAGTCGTGAAAAGTCACTGATTTGTTTAAATCAATGTCCGCCATGTTTACGGTATCTAATTGCGTTTGCATAACATTGATCCTTAATTAGTGTATAAATATAGAAATAAAAAAAATCAAGGTAACTACGGGTCACGTGATTGATACATATATGTAGTTTCGTGTTTTGTATAAGTTTGTGGTATTCAAGGCTAAAACAGGGCCACTCTCCGAGTATACTTATAGAATAATGCTGAAGGTTCTTAAATGGGAATATACTAAGCAAAACAACAACTCAATTTTTTAACATTTAAAATAATTTGCTTTTAAATGGTCACTGGTGTCAATTGAAGGGTATATATATATATATATCTATAGTTAAGAATGATACATATCATGGTGTTTTAACGGTGACAGCTATCAATGTATATTTACAACAATTATATATTTATTTGCATGAATTCAGTGACGTATTTTGATATTGTGATAATTAAGTCAACGTCATGTCGACATAAAACGATCTACAGTTTACGTGTAAAAACATGAATTCCATATATTTCACCTTTCACAACAAATTTGTTCACAATAGGACTACATAACGATAATATTTTACCAGAAATAGACAGTAAACGACATCTCATAACTGGACAAATTCCAGTGTCTCAAAAACGTAAGGTAGTTAGAGAAATGGGGAAGAAACGTGATTTTTTTTTTTTTTTTTTCCTTTATAAATTTTTCACAAGTCATCATTTCATGAATAGATAATTAATATAACCAACTATGTATATATACTACTGTTGAGGTGAACCTTATGGTTATGTCAACCTCCCAAAAAGTTATTAACCGAAACGATCTACAGAAATCCGCCAAAATAAAACATGTTATCTGAAAATTTATCATCATTACATGATTTCTGACCATGTCTCTCCTTATTAGGGGTTCAACCTAATGTCGTGTGATACGTATCATATACCCTAGTGTTAACTACGGCGAACAGAGGACGTTACCTTATTTAATTTGGATTAGTTCCTATCACATATACGTTTTTTTCCTGTAAAATCAATCATTTTCGAGGGAAATTTATTTCCGGTGATTTTGTGGGTATTTTGACGAATTTTTCTCCACAAACCGCTGAAATAGATATAAGCAGATTAATCTATTTTTTTCTACGAAATTATGTGCCCACGAAAAAGTTAGAACATTAATAATAATAAGACATGAATTCATTTTGGTGAAAACGAAATTCTGACTTTAGTCCGGAATTAAAGACGACTTTGTGCCTAAACCTCCAAGAAACCGTTTTAGCTCGAATTGTCCATTGTTCGCCATTTTTTTATTGTGATACACGATGTTTAAGTACGTATCAAACGATTTAGGTAGGACAACCCAGCTACTGGTATGTATGTAACAGACCTTAATCTGTTTATACAGGCCTTCAGTGAAAATCCTGAGAGCTGAGAACAATGGGTCATTTTCAACAATTTTTTTGACAATACAAGAATTATGAAGGGCTATTCTATGTAAAATTGAAATAAAATGGAAATATGAAGGGACCAGTATCATGCTTGAGATATCCCTCCAAGAATTCCCATGTCCTTGAAAATCAAGGCTCGCTAGAAAGCAAGTGAAGTCAAGATTGGTCAGTAATTTACAACAAATAACTCAGGCCTACCGGGTCACGACAAACGGTACCTTATCTCTGTAAATTGACCCAATGTTTCTGTCTAGATCATCTATCTTCTTTTGAAACATTTTCTTTAGGTTTGTAACGTATTTTGAATAGAAGTTCTTAAATAACAACCAGATCGAAAATCAAGTGTAGCTAAGCCGAATCGACATGCACGGCATAGTACATTGTTACCGACTAATGGCCTTGCGGGAGATCGCCGATTCGACCTGTTTTCACTTAACTCTTTTTTGCCATCTCGTCACGACACTTTCCATCTCAGGGTACATAATATTATACCACTGTCGAAATGTCCTGTTAATTTAATACACTTCACACTGGCACTTGAACTGATGAAGGAGGCAAATGTAGCCATCGAAATGACATATATTATTTTCTTATCGGTTGGGATATTAGAACTTCTATTTAACATTCATATTTTTATTTGAAAATACGTCCTTAAAATGTACTTTTTCGTGTAAAATATTACAATACATCGATGACATAAAGTATTGATAGGATACCACAAAAAATCTACTCCTCATGATATACTAAAATAATATCAACCTTACCTGTTGCAAAACAAAATACTTATACCTATTAATATACATTTTGTTCTATGTTACAACAATGCATTCTAATTAAAACGTCGTTTGTTAATTGAAATATCAACAACGTGAGTACCATATCATATACTAGATATATTGCATAATCACCCGCTGAGAATTGGTAAATGGAGTGTTCACATGAAATCTCTTTACAATAAATTTCACATGTATACAAGTATATATTTCCATCAGTCAGTTTTGCGTGGGTTCCTCGAACACGTCGTTGTCCACTTGCCGTACTTTATACTCCGCTAACACGTAGAACATAACAGACACTACCAGCATAATGATAAGGATATACAACTTGCCAGATACACACACGAACGTTCCACTGATGAAGGAGAAAGCCAGACCGAAACTTTGCAGCAGTCGGTAGTTCGCAAATGCTATATCTGCGTCCTCCGGGCACGTGACACATATCAGGGCTGTAAAAAGTGATACATACATTATTTATAGAATATAAAACAATAGAAACCTAGTGCATGGATTGTTATGACATAATATTTCAAAAGTCATTACTTACAAACAAATTCAAATAAAAAAATTAAATTAACTTTATTTATAAAATTCAAAATGTGAGATTCTTGACTTTTCAAATCCATAATTTTGGTAAAGCACCTTCAGCATCCTCGGAAAGATAATTTGGTCAAATCACATCTGGGTCTTGAGAAGAACATTTTTGAAATTGATCAATCTGGCCCCTTTTGGCACAGCTCATCAACCCCTGAGTGTCAGCCAGAGTCAGCATGTACATACCAGCATACAACCATCTTATATTAATAACTCTAACCAAGTTTAAGTTACATGTATTTCCAATCGGAATAAAAAAAAATCGGCGAGTTAAAGTCACCCACCGAATGAGAAAAACCACTGTCAAGAATGCAGACAACGGATTTGTTCAGACCTAGTACTAATCACTAACTGACGGATCACCATATTCAAAAATAAAAAGTGTTGATGTTGCTATTGTAAATACAAATGGTGAATGTATAATGGTAAGTAATGCTGTATTACTATTAAATCACGTCTGCTGACAGGCTCTATGCCACGTTCGTTCAAATGACAAAAAGTGAAGCAGATTTTCCTTTGATGTAGGTCAAAGGTCAAAATGTAGATCAGGGTGACATACTTTTGGCACATACAAGATCACCTCACCTATGGTTACCAATGTCCCATGAAGAAAGTTGCAGTGAAACTAATAGTGTAGGAGATAGAGCCCGGAAATACATTTTCTCTGATGAAGGTCAAAGGTCAAAATATAGGTCAGAGTGACCTACTTTTTTTAATATGATTTGCTATTACGGGGGCTAAACTAGGAAGAGACAAAATTACACAAAGACAGAGCCATCTTCTTCACAGAAAACATGGCCGTGAGATTCAATGTACAATTTAATCAATAAAAGCTTCTCAAACTGAGAACTGGGGTAAATACATTTTCAAGAACAAATTATGCTTCCTTAAATCATTCAAGATATTTGCGAGAAACTGCTGTTGGCTACCGTAATCAATGTTGAAATAGATAGAATTCAAAAGATAAAATGTATATATATAAGACATGGCAGGAAATCAGAACTTGATGATGGCGAGTAATAGTTTAACAATAACTGAAGGTACATATAAACCGTCTATATGATTTTCACTATTTTCTTGCCATTGATGTACGAGAAATAATATCCATTTTTCTACACCATAGACAAATAATATATAGGAATGTTATTCATCATACTTCAAGCGTAAACTACACTGGCATTTACAATTTATGTTTGCAGAAGACAAATAGAGAAACACGATTTTTCGATGTCGTTCATGATGATGGAGTTATATACAGTTATCAAGAGGGTAAGCCTGGAAAACCAGTGTAGATTTTAATACATCCCCCGTGAACAGTAATGTGTTAGTGACGCTATCACTGAACAGTCTGGGCCTAACACCTATCAATTTCATCAGACGTATCGATCCGAGTCATACAAACGTTTAAAGAAGTATTGATCGAAGTCACACAAACGTTTAGGATACAGAAACCGAGAACATTGACTTTCCTCGGTAAGGACAGAAAATAAGAACTAATTACACTATTTTTTCTCAGACAGTTACACTTGTATTCGCCTTTCATACAGACCACAGATGAGCGTAACCAGACGTTTTAATGGAAGAGGAATAGGGCAAACGAAAATAAACAGCTTAATACTGGGAAAAACAACAGTGTTAGGGCGAGGACAGACAGACATTACAGCATGGACAACAACAACGATGAGAAATAGAAAAAAATATAGTGTTGATATAGAACATAGAACAGTGTTAATACAGGACACAGTTAATACAGTACAGAGTACAACGTTAATACAGGACACAGTACAGTGTAAATACAGGTCACAGTACATTGTTGATACAGGACACAGTACAGTGTAATACAGTACACAGTACAGTGTTAATACAGTACAGTGTTAATACAGGACACAGTACAGTGTTAATACAGGACACAGTACAGTGTAAATACAGTACAGTGTTAATATAGTACATAGTAAATACAGTACACAGTACAGTGTAATACAGGACAAAGTACAGTGTAAATACAGGAGACAATTAATACAGTACAGTGATAAAACAGGACACAGTACAATGTTAATACAGTACAGTTTTAATATAGTACATAGTTAATACAGTACACAGTACAGTGTAATACATGACACAGTACAGTGTTAATACAGTACAAAGTACAGTGGTAATGCAGTACATTGTTAATACAGTATAAAGTAGAGTGTTAATACAGGACACAATACAGTGTTAATACAGGACAGTGTTAATATAGGACACAATACAGTGTTAATACAGTACAGCGTTAATACAGGACACAGTACAGTGTTAATACAGGACAGTGTTAATACAGGACAGTGTTAATACAGGACAGTGTTAATACAGGACACAATACAGTGTTAATACAGGACAGTGTTAATACAGGACACAATACAGTGTTAATACACTACAGCGTTAATACAGGACACAGTACAGTGTTAATACAGGACAGTGTTAATACAGGACACAATACAGTGTTAATACAGGACAGTGTTAATACAGGACACAATACAGTCGTTATACAGGACACACTACAGTGTTAATACAGGACACAGAACAGTGTTGGTACAAGGCACAGTACAATGTTAATACAGTACAAAGTACAGTGTTAATACAGGATACAGTTCAGTGTAAATACAGGATACAGTACAGTGTGAATACAGGACACAGTACAGTATTAATTCAGTATATTGTTAATACTAGACACAGTACAATGTTATTACAAGACACAGTACAGTGTTCATACAGTACAGTGGCAATACGGAACACAGTACAGTGTTAATACAAGACACAGTACAGTGTTAACACAAGAAACAGTACAGTGGTAATACAGGACACAGGACAGTGTTAATACAGGACACAGTACAGTGTTAATACAGGACACAGTACAATGTTCATACAGTACAGTGGCAATATAGGACACAGTACAGAGTTAATCATGACACAGTGTTAATACAAGGCACAGTACAGTGTTAACACAGGACACAGTACAGTGTTACCACAGTACAGTGTTGATACATGACACAGTACAGTGTGAATACAGGAAACATTACAGTGTTGATACAGTACAGTGTGAATACAGGACACAGTACAGTGGCAATACAGTACAGTGTTAATTCAGTATATTGTTAATACAGGACACAGTACAGTGTTAGTACAAGACACAGTACAGTGTTCATACAGTACAGTGGCAATACGGGACACAGTACAGTGTTAATACAAGACACAGTACAGTGTTAACACAAGACACAGTACAGTGGTAATACAGGACACAGTACAATGTTCATACAGTACAGTAGCAATATAGGACACAGTACAGTGTTAATCATGACACAGTGTTAATACAGGACACAGTACAGTGTTAACACAGGACACAGTACAGTGTTACCACAGTACAGTGTTAATACATGACACAGTACAGTGTTAATACAGGACACAGTACAGTGTTAATACATTTGAGTGATAAAACAGGACGCAGTACAGTGTTAATACAGTACAGTGTTAATACAGGACACAGTACAGTGTTAATACAGTAGAGTGTAAATACAGTACAGTGTTAATACAGCACACAGTACAGTGTTAATACAAGACACAGTACAGTGTTAACACAGTACAGTGTTTATACAGGACACAGTACAGCGTAAATACATTAAAAAGTACAGTGTTAATACATTACACAGTACAATGTTAATACAGCACACAGTACAGTGTTCATACAGTGCAGTGGCAATACAGGACACAGTAGAGTGTTAATACAAGACACAGTACAGTGTTAACACAAGACACAGTACAGTGGTAATACAGGACACAGTACAGTGTTAATACAGGACACAGTACAGTGTTAATACATTTGAGTGATAAAACAGGACACAGTACAGTGTTAATACAGTACAGTGTTAATACAGGACACAGTACAGTGTTAATACAGTACAGTGTAAAAACAGTACAGTGTTAATACAGCACACAGTACAGTGTTAATACAAGAGAGAGTACATTGTCAATACAAGACACAGTACAGTGTTAACACAGTACAGTGTTAATACAGTAAAAGGTACAGTGTTAATACATGACACAGTACAATGTTAATACAGTGCAGTGTTAATACAGGACACAGTACAGTGTTAATACAGTACAGTGTAAAAACAGTACAGTGTTAATACAGCACACAGTACAGTGTTAATACAAGAGAGAGTACATTGTCAATACAAGACACAGTACAGTGTTAACACAGTACAGTGTTAATACAGTAAAAGGTACAGTGTTAATACATGACACATTACAATGTTAATACAGTACAGTGTTAATACAGTACACAGTACAGTGTTAATACAGGACACAGTATGTTGTTAGTACAGGACACAGTACAGTGTTAATACAGAACACAGTATTGTGTTAATACAGTACATAGTAAATGGTTAATACAAGACACAGTACAGCGTTAATACAGGACACAGTATAGTGTTAATACAGGACACAGTACAGTGTAAATACAGAACACAGTATTGTGTTAATACAGTACATAGTAAATGGTTAATACAAGACACAGTACAGTGTTAATACAGGACACAGTACAGTGTTAATACAGGACACAGTACAGTGTAAATACAGGACACAGGACATTGTTAATACAGTACAGTGTTAATACAGGACACAGTACAGTGTTAATACAGTACACAGTACATTGTTAATACAAGACACAGTACAGTTATAATACAGGACACAGTACAGTGTTAATACAGGACAGTGTTAATACAGGACACAGTACAGTGTTAATACAAGACAGTGGTAATACAGGACACAGTACAGTGTTGATATTAATAATAGAACATACAGACTTAAATACATGTACACAGTTTTAAAGAAAAAAACTACAAAAAGATAATACAGGATACGATAATTAGGAAAGATATCAGAGGATACGATAATTAGGAAAGATAATACAAATATTAATTTTAAAGATATCTTGAGGATACGATAATTAGGACAGAATCAGAGGATACGATAATTGTAAGATATCAGAGGATACGTGTTAATTAGGAAAGATATCAGAGGATACGAAATTAAAGATAATTAATAGATAAAAAGATATCTGAAACAGATAATTAGGTAGATATCAGAGGATACGATAATTAGGAAAGATAATAGAGGATACGATAATTAGGAAGATAATACAGGATAAATAATTAGGATAAGATATCTGAGGATACGATAATTAGACAGATATCAGAGGATACGATAATTAGGAAAGAATCAGAGGATACATAATTAGGAAAAAAAATACGATAATTAGGAAACAG